ATTACATTTCATCTATATCATATTAATACTTGTAATTAGTACCTACACCAAAGTTGACTTATGCAGTATACCTCTGTATAGAATATCGCCATAAGTTATCATTCATCATTATGGTAATTGCCGCATATACGACAAGACACAATGTGCTATTGGGGCTGTCTCTGGGGCCCGGGCCTGAGCTGTTCGTGTGTGAAACATGATCGCCTTCATATCCAAAAGACCAGGATCGTTGTGTCTGCATTCTACATTTAACGCTTACTAAAATAAACGAATTAGCCCCTGGCGTGGCCGAAATGCTTGCAAGCTAATTATTCTATTTTAGTAGCACTAATGTCTTCAGAAATTGGATTTAACAGATGAAAGTTGTATAATGAGAATATGGTATTTAAGAATGTTTATTTTAATCAAACAAAAAAGTCAAAAATATAGGCAAAGCCTCTATCATTCATCATTATGGTAATTGCCGCATATACGACAGGACACAATGTGCTATTGGGGTTGTCTCTGGGGCCCGGGCCTAAGCTGTTCGTGTGTGAAACATGATCGCCTTCATATCCAAGACTATATATATATAAGTATGTGTGTGTTTAAGGAGAAGAGAACCCAGTTCCGGAACTTTCAAGGCTAGGTGTGTGGGATGACATAACCAAAGCTCGAAATCTTATGACTTACTACTCAGAAACCTTGTTACTTAATTACAATAACAATGCAGCTGAACTATATAATTCAATATTAACTAAATTTACTGGAGGAAAACGGGTAAACTTTTCGTTAAAAGGTTCATATCAACTTAGATGTAATGCTGCAGTTATGGCTTATAATGCTGGATCAAATCGCTTATCATTATTTAATAAGCACGTTACAAATAAAAGCCCAAGGAAGTATACTAAAATGTATATAAAAAAATATAAAAAAGTGGTAGACGACCGTAAAATACAACGTCAACTTTTTCCAACGAAACCTAAAAATAAATCTAAAATTACTTACGTTGGACCCGACAAAAACTATGGGAACGTCTCGAATAATTTAACACACTTAACAAAAGAAGAAAAAGAAAAATTAAAAAATATTTTTTTAAAAAAAGCTTGCTAAAAAAAGAAATTCATGATTTAGAAAAAAGAACAATACGACAAAACCAATGTGAAGAATGGCATTTAGAAAGAAAAAAAAGGTTTGTTTTAATTATTTTATTACTTATATAAAACCATAATAGCATTTGTTGTCGGATAAATGTGTGTTTCTTTAAACTTTATAAAGGTTAACTGCGTCTGTATTTGGTAAAATCTGTAAATTGCGTGAATCCACTTCAAGAGACAAAGTTGCCAAGGAATTATTGTTTGGGACTTTTACCGGTAATGCTGCCACCAGGTATGGAATCCAGCATGAAGACATGGCCAAAGATCAGTTAGAAAAAGTTATAGGGAAAAATATAAAAAATGCAGGCCTGATGGTAGATCATGGTCTATCATTTTTGGCAGCATCTCCTGATGGTCTAGTGGACAATAATGCTTTAGTTGAAATACAATGTCCAGCATCAGCGAAAAGTATGAGTCCAGAAGACGGAATCGCCATGAAGAAAATAAAATGTTGTGAAATAAAAGACGAACAGTTGCATCTCAAACGTAATCACAACTACTATTACCAAGTACAAGGACATTTGCATATTTCGAATAAATTATACTGTTATTTTTGTATTTGGACGCCTAAAAGTTTGTGAATATATTTTATGTATACTCATTGTGGAATATAATATGTAAATAATTAATTATGTATATTTATATAGGTTTGATGTTTGAAAAAATAAAACGGGATGACAGTTTTTGGGAAAACAAAATGAAAATGAAATGAAAAACATTTTATTTAGAAAATATGTTGCCTCAACTACTTAATGAAGAAATTAACTAATTATTATTATTATAATATCTATTCAATCTTTTTTTTTTTTTTTTGTTAAATGATTTGTGATATAAAATAAATACTACAAATTAATATACTTATCAATAGCTATTATTTTAATTTTATGTAAATTTTTAATTATTAATTTATATTTTTTATAATGTGGGAACGACGTGATTATATTATGAATGAATATATTTCATAGTAATTAATAATTATATGGAAAAATTATATTTTATTATTTTTTTTTTTTTTTTTAAGGCTTTGACAACTGAGGTCATTAGCCTGACGGTTGGTAAGGTTGGTACAGTAGGGTTGGAACAGTTGGTACAGTAGGGTTGGAACACGCGAATGTTTGGCAGAATTTCTATTGGGGCACCCGTAGGTTTCTGCCATGCCCCGAAGTGGGAGAAAAATTATAATATACTTTTTTCCGACGAATTCCCATACGGCATGGTTTATTTTGATTATTATCAAAATACCGAAAATTCAGACCTCGTCGCGAATAGTGCGATAACGGATTACACACACTAATGTTCATTTACTTCTCCTCACGGCTGCATACAAATTGCATGCCAAAAAAAATTTCCAAATTGCATGCCGTCTCTTGTAGGGGTCTGTCCGAATTGCATGCCATCTCTTGGAGGGGTCTGTCCGAATTGCATGCTATCTCTTAGAGGGCTTTGTCCGGATTGCATGCCGTACACCACACGTTTATTTACTATGCATTTAAACAACTTAAACTTTTTTTTGGAATTTCCTAATTTTTTTAAAAAAATTCATGTATAGAAACGCTCTTTTACATATGGTTGTTACAACTGTTTAGTGATTAGTTTCTGGATTGAAATATTTTTATATCCGTGTAAATATTTTCCCAAACAGTATCTATATTGGAGTAATGTAGTGTATTGTGGTCTCGGTCTATTTCACAACAGATTAATAATATTTTATTATTATGAATTATTATTATATATTATTTTGTTTATTTAAATAATTGTAATATTGTGTGCCCGAAATGTCAAAAAAAAACCACCAAATTTAAAAATAATATTATTTAAAATACACTCACTTGATTACCCTAAACTACAATAGTTTTATTTAACTAATGGCATTTGTTGTCGATGAAAAAAAAATAGTTTTATTTTATGATTCTTATTCACAGTGTCACCTTCTACAATATTTATATGTTTTATTGTAATGTAACAAAATCCCGATCCTCCAGTTGAAAAGTAAGTTATTTATTCGGATATACCCCTCTAAGAGATGGCATGCAATTCGGACAGGCCCCTCCAAGAGACGGCATGCAATTCGGACAGACCCCTTCAAGAGACGGCATGCAATTCGGACAGACCCCTCCAAGAGACGGCATGCAATTCGGACGACCCGATTTATATTTATTTTTTTGGCATGCAATTCGGATGCACCGCTTCTCACACATTGACACAGCCAAAATGTACATGTAGGTAATATGAAATGCCTGAACACTACTCCTTAATACATGGTATGCTTCAGCCCCCTTAATGAGGTTCCAAATAGAAGGGTGCTTATGGCTTACCAACTTAGAAAATCGATTATTGAAACCTTCAATTTGGTTGTTTGTACGGTCGATATTATGTAATGTACTTACGTGTATATTCAAAATTTCAGGTGGAAAAAGAGGTGGTACTTTTCGAAATTTCAATGTATTTCCTTGGCCAATACGTCCCATTTACGTAGGTTTGATCAAAATATTCCACCAATTCATGTGCTTCTTCGGGCATGATTTTACGTAAATGAGACGTTCCTTCAAATATGTCAGATACCGGCAAAAAAGTAAAACTATCGACATGTCCACAAAATAACATGAACTCCTCATTTTCTCGTTACAAATTTTCCAAACCAAACTGATGTATTTTCCTATGCGTGCTTTGTGTTAAATGGTAATAACAACCTTTAACTTTTGAATGTTCACCAAAAACATTACGAATAGCTTGAATAACGGCTTTCTCAAAATCCACATGAATATGAGATGGATCAGGAAAAATTTCTCTCTTTTCACACTCAGAGATAATGGTTGTGAGAGGATGTTGTGGATGGTAGAGATTGTGTTTTTCTTTGAAGTAAGCAAAACGCAGATGTAACAAATATATCATTTATCTGTATAAAAATAAAGCTAAATTAATTTAAGTACCTAATAATAAGTACCACTATAACTCTACAAGCTTAAAATATTAATATATTTTATTTTGTAAAAATATATTTATATTAAATATTTTATGTGTGACTGTCGATTGAGGATTTATTTTATAAACAATGTTTTGAAGTACAATAGTTTCTATAAATATTTAAATTTAAAAAAGTCCGGAGTAAGATGGGCAAGGGGGCACTGTCAAGGGGCCCATTAATTTTGGAGGCCCATCATTATCCCCAAAATATATTTTTAACGTGTCCAATAGTTTTCAAAAAAAAAAATTAATTAAGTAGGTAGGTAAATTATTATTAATAATTATAAAATAAAATTGTTCTCAATTTTATATCACGAAAAATTACTATAAATAATGAAGTATGTTTTCCAACAATTTTGTTTATGTTTTTTTTTTTTTTTGAGCATTTTAGATTACCGATTTAACTGTTAGGTATATAAAAAGGTATAGTTATAAGAAAAAATTATTTAGCTAAAAAATTGTGCCACTTTTTTCGCGGAGTGTTATCACCTTCTCTTTTCTACATCGTCCAGTCCCGTTACAAACATAAAACATGGTTACGAACATTTAACATCATGATAGTGGTATATATATTCAAGGTACTACTATAAGCCACGGACTAAAGGGGCCCACACACGATCAGTTTAACTGTGCAGTTTATCACGTATGACGTCATGTCTGAGCGATAAACGGAGGAAACTGTGCAGTTCTGGCGGATTTTTACGCAGGCTTTTGGCCTGCGCGAGATAGTCTACTTTGCACCGATAAACGGCGCAGTTAGATCAGTTAATCGAACAGTTTGCACAGTCTTCTCTAGTCGTTCGACGTTTCTAGCCACGCACATCCACATCCATCACATCCAAATTTTATTTTGTACTACTCAACTACTCAACTTTCTACTACTCAACTGTTGTCGCCGCCATGGCAAAAAAAAAAGAACAACTTCTGCATTTTATTGATGCATACAGAAGTTTACCAGAATTGTGGGATATAGAATGCCCTTCATATTCAAATCGGTTAAAAAAAGCAGCAGCGTACGATGTTTTAATTGAAAAGCTTAAACCTCTGGAGCCTGATGCGGTTCGTGATAGTGTAGTTAAAAAAATTAACAACCTTCGATCAACTTTTCGGAAAGAATTGAAGAAGGTAAACGACTCAAAAAGATCCGGCGCGGGAAGCGAAGATGTATATGTTCCAAGCCTCTGGTACTTTAACGAATTAATGTTTTTGGTAGACCAGGAAACTCCAGACACGAGTGAATCAACATTTGCAGTGGATAATGAAAACAGCCAGGATTCGGTAAGTGAAAGGACTCTTTAATCTGTTGTTATTTTTATTTTATTTAAATTTAAATATACTCTATCTCTACTTTTAAACATTGGTTATTTAGTATTACGAAAATAACTACTAAAACTACTCGTCGCTGTCGGGCATCTCAGCAAACATGTATGAAATAAAGTATAATATACTTATATATACCTTATCTATATATTATATGGACCCCAATTGTAAACAACGAAATTATAGTTTTCCGATAACAAATACCAAAATAAAGTTAAAATAATATATTACATTACATTACGGGCATGATAGAAATCGTAATATCGTAATAACTAATTATTATATTTATTAATTATTAATAATGATTTTAGTTTAAAACTAAAATATGAATTTTAAAAAATTATAAATTATAGTTAAATAATACAAAGTTTAATACATTTATTTTTGAGGAATAATATTCTGACGTAGGTAGGTAATATGTTTGAGCATTTTTTCTTTACTAGTATGTTATATTTTAGTCAATACAGTTACTGAAGTATTATAATAATATGATTGAATTGTACTTTGTACCTATATATACAATATTATACATACCTTTTTTAACTTTTATAAATATAATAAGTATAAAATGATTCAGACCTTAAGTAGGTACTAGGTACTTTGAAAATGAATTCGTCATATATAAGATTTAAAAAGTTATATCTTGAGTCTTCTGTACAGAAGACGGAAGCATTTTATATTTGAAATAGGTACATATTACACCTATTGTGTATTATAATTTATAGCGAAACAAATGCAGTTTAGTTCCCACGCGATTTTTTCGATTTTTTCCCCCCAAAATATGTGTTTTAAAGCACTGAATACAAAAGTCTTATTCAAAAATTCTCGAATTTTTTTACTTAAAAAGTTATACCAAAAAAACTATAAAACAGTACATTTTTCGAAAATACGTGATAATGTGATATCCTCCATAAAAACATCGAAAAAAGTTGTTGATTTTTTTTTAAAATTGTATGTTTTTATGATTTTAACTATCGTATTTGCTGTTTAAAAACTCGTAAATTGAAACCAAAATGTACACAATATCACAGATCGATTTCACAATATCCCTCGGCAGTGACTATACGCGTGTATCGGCACTCGTCACTACGCTCTTCTGCGCCGTCGCTCCGCTCCGCAAATCGAAAATATCCCTCGACTTGTTATGCAAAACCACCTAATGTCATAGATATATTAATCTACATTTTTCATAAAAACTACTTAAGATAATATTATAAAAAGATAAAATAACATAATTAATAAGAGGCGACAATCCAATACGAATACGTAGGAAAACAAAATGAATGCGTAAATACGCAAAATCGTAAAATTTGGAAAGATATAACTTCCAAAATAATAATTTGTGAGAATTTTTGTATAAGACTTTTGTATTCAGTGCTTTAAAGCACACATTTTGGTTGGAAAAAAATCGAAAAAACTAAACTGCATTTATACCTTTATAGCTATGTACCTACCAAAAGTTTTTTCACCATTAAAGCATTAAATATGCAAGACAGTTAAATTAATTACTGCATAATATCATAAAATATATACAATAATTATTCTATGAACAATGAACTTATAGGTTAAAAAGGTTAAAAATCAAGAAAGTAAAAAACACACAAAGCGAAATAAATATTACGGGAATTTCTATTTTTTTTAAAAATACATTCCATAATAGTATATTATAATGTAAAATAACGAACATAATAGTAGTTATGAGTTGCTAATTTAAATTTTATCTTGCCATTCAACTTTTCCTTCATTATTGAAGTAACTACAGAAAGTATCGCGATGTACTTTCGCTGTTGTAGAAGAAGCTGAACTGCTGCTGCTTCTCATACCAAATACATGCCCATCCAATCCTATTCCTTCTGAAATTTGAGAGGTTGCATGTTGATTGTTGACATAACCACTGGAATGTCTTCTAAGAAAATTATGTAAATAACAACAAGCTAGAACTATGGCATTCACTTTTGTTGGTTGTAGATTGATGGGTTTTCCAAGAACTGCGAACCTAGATACTAGAATTCCAAAACAATTTTCAACGACCCTCCTTGCTCTCGATAGACGATAGTTGTAAATGCGTCTTTCATTATTAAGCACAGAAAAAGCATATGGTTTCATGAAATTATCCGTTAACTGAAAAGCCTCATCCGAAATGAAAACATATGGAGCAGTCTTGTTGCTTCCTGGAAGGCGTTCAGGAGGTGGAATGTTTAGTTCACCTTTTATAAGACTGTTGTAGAAAGATGTATTTTTAATCACGCCTCCATCCGAAATTCTTCCATTTTTTCCCACATCAGCCATTAAAATTTCGTAATTAGCGTCAACTACAGCCATTAATACGACGCTAAAAGTACCTTTGTAATTGAAGTACCGAGAGCCTGAATTTGCCGGTTTTTTTATTTGAACATGTTTGCCATCGACCGCACCGAGGCAGTGTGGGAATTGCCATTTTTCTTGAAATTCATGAGCTACCTTTTTCCAATCTTCTTCACTTTGAGGAATCTAAAACCATAAATTTCGAAATTGAAACTACTTAATTTAAAAAAAAAATAACCAAATGTGTAATACTGTTGTGTATTATAGGCGTCGAGTGGATCACTGTAATAGCGATGTATTAATTTATTAATAATTTTTCCAATTTTAATATTTAATTATGACCAAACAGTTTTATTTATGTTATAGGCTTCAGTTCCTTTATCTGAATTTACTTCTCCTGGGCTAACACACACTTCATTTTCTGCACCACCCAGCAAAAAAAAAAAGACCATTCCTGCATCACACGATCTTCTTATTAAAGCCACGCGGTATTTGGAAGCTGAAGACGATGAGTTCCTAACATTGGCGAAGGGTTACGCGGTTAAATTAAAAAAACTCAGTCAACAACAGCTCATGTTTGCTGATAAAGTGATCAATGAAACATTGCTTGATGGTCAAATGGGACTTTTGAACAGACGCAGCTATGTGGTTCACCCATCGGAGCTTCCACCAACTACAACACAATCGCATTCATGGTATCAACCTACACCCAACTCTTTTTCACATCCATCTACAACCAACTCCTCTTCAGATCCATCTACATCCAACTCGTCTTTTGCAGATACTGAAACGGTGAGGAGCGTATTCGCAGGATTCAGCTATATAAATGAAGATGATTTTTGATGACATACTCTATTGTAAAAGTAATATTATATATATATGCATGTATATATTTAGCTACTAATTTTGATGAACTTAAATGTTTCTTTAATAAACATATTTATTAACTTATTCATTTTTTTTTCTTTTATATAAATCAAATTATTACAGTAAAAAAACAAATTTTCTTATGTTTAGAAAATAATATTAGTCTGGTTAGTTTAATAAACTGTTATAACAAATAACAATGATACACTTACTTGAATGAAATCTCGTAGTGCTGTCTGTATTGCTATGCAGGTTTCTATGATTATATCCCCGAGTGCTTGAGGGGAAACTCGCATTGAAAATTTCAAATCTTCATAGCTTCTCCCTGTTGCTAGAAACCGAAGTGTAGCAATCAATCTCACATGAGAAGGTATTGCGTCTCTCATGACTGTATTTTGTTTTTCGATGAGGGGAGCAACTTTTCTCAAGAGCACTTGAAAAATGTTGTCATCCATTCGTAGGTAATTACTGAAATCGGCAATTTCCCCTCCTTCTTTCAACTCGTTCAACAAATGACAATCGCTAGGCAAAACACTTCTTTGCAGAAACCAATCCTTGCTCCAGCGTTCACGGGGCCTTTTCTTCCGCTTATCTTCTTCTTCAAGCAGCACTGCTGCAATTACACAACACACTGCTGCTCTTTTTTTCGGTCACCCATTGTCATCTGAATACACATACAGTAGACCAGTAGACTGCGACTACACCGTACGAAAAAACGGAGAGAACTGTGATCATAACTGATGGAAAAACTGATGAATCCTACACACCTTCAGTTCAGATAACGGTACAATTTTTACTCAGTTAATTTCACAGATAAACTGCACAGTTAAACTGATCGTGTGTGGGCCCCTTGAGATATACAGGACTGGAAACGAATGAGCTGGCGGAGTGCGGGGTCTGGGCCAAATGTACAACGGTTCCTTTCTGACGCCTGTACAACCGTGACCGCTCTGCCATCTATTGGCAACTATTATAAGCCTATAAATAATCCCTATGTTACTGTATGATATAATGAAATATATAATAAACTTTAGACTTGTTATATACATCTTGTATCTAATTTTGTTTCTTGAATGTGTATAATATATTTTATGCTAAACAACTTAATCTAAGATATATTATACTTTATTTGTATGTATATGTTATTAAATTAAGTACAGAATAGGTACTGAGCAAGTATTGACCATACATAAAAGATTATTTTAGTCTATTCTGTGAATCCTATCTAAAATTCATTCTATGTTGTACTTTTTTATTACCTACCAATATTTCAATAGTAGGTACATTACATTTATTTATTATTTAAGATAAATTACCAAAATGCCATGGCGGTGTAGTGTAGATCAATGCCATATTTTGAAAAACAAAATTAAATGTACATTGTTCAAAGCACCAAAAGAAGTTAATATTTTAACAGCATGGAACGAAGCTGTCTCTAAAGCTAATGGTAAAAGTTCCATTGCTCATTATGTTTGTCAAAATCATTTTTCAGCTGCAGATTTAATAAGTGTATATAACAACTATCCAGGAGATTTAAATGTATGTTAAATTTTATATTTATGCAATTTATGATCTATTTTACAATCAAGTTACTATTAATTTTAGTCAGTATGTAACTTAGCAATTTGACATTTGTAGTGTTGTAAAGATAATTTTTAAAAGTGTTTAAAATGTTACTCAAACTACTCAAATATTTTTCATACTTAATATATACCTACTATTAAACCAAGAGAAGTATTTAAGTATTAAAAACACTACAAAGTGCAAGTGAATCGATACTACCAAAATAAATTATGAACTACTCATAAATTTAATTTATTGTTGTTATTTTTTTTATGCATACCTACACAAATATCTGCACAGTATTTGAATTTCGAAGTAAGTATAGGTACCTTTAGGTATGAACTTCAAAATAGAATATTAAATATTCACAACAATTATTGTTATTGCAAATCAAGTATTAACAGGTATGTCATACTATAGTTTTTAGTTATTACATTAATAAATTAAAACACTAAAATGCAAATATGTAAAAATAATATAATGTATTAACTCTAATATTCTGTGCTACTTGTAAGATGAAAGTTTTATTGAAATTTGCTCTCAATCTCATAAACTACTTGTCAATTAAGGTACCTTATATTGTATATAGGTAATTTAACTATACAAGTACATTTTAGATCTTAATTCTTAACTCAATATTATAATACATTTTTTTTTATATAGGTACTAGGTAGTAGGTAGTAGGCACTAAGCACCATAAATAATAATTACAATTTAATAATTTAACAATTAATTATCAAATTATTATGTAATGCACTTACGTACCTAGATGGCGTTAAGATCGACGTTGTACCAACTAGTGTTGTACATTAGTTCCATTGATAACGCCGTCGTTTCCAGTCCGTGCTATAAGCGCAGCGACGAGTGCCGCAAGACGTGTTATCACAATACATACTATACAACATAACTTACCCTGTGACCTACTTGAGGTGGTGTAAGGTGTTGCACATCAAGTCAAGGGATACTTTTTTGTTTTTTACACTGAAAACTATATAAGGAAACTGCCAAAAAGTAAAACCAATTTTAATATTTTATGTTTTATTTTGAAACTAAAAAAAAAACTGTTTATGATTCGTCCTCAGATTCTATCTCAGAGCCGGTGCCAGATTCCGACTCTGCAGACTCAACAACATTATCGGCTCTCACTCCATCAACAGGGTCGTATGCTATGGAACACAACTGAAAAAATTCTGTTAGAGTGTCAATATTTTGTAATCGACACGATTTTAAAAATATATATTTTGCCAAGTACCCTGCGTAGAATCGTTTTTTACGACAGTATTGACTCATGGATGCCTTAGCAAGACGCCACATCCATTCCACATTATTTGTATGTGCTCCGGTATCAGGGTTCTTAAATTCAATTGAGTGGTTGACGGTGAGGTGTGTGTAACTCTCATCTTTCAAACAATCGTAACTCTAAATATATCAAACCATAATTAATATCTTAAAAATGTAGGTGTAATAGTTTGTAAATTAAAAAAATGGATTACATACTTTCCAACAATCACTCATTATCAATGTTCCGGGTAAAATCCAATCTTTAATAATGACCAACAATGTTTCCTTATTTCTCCGCTCGTCAGGTATTAGGAAACATTTACCTGTTTCCCGCTCCACACCACCAAACGCCAACTGCCCCTCTACTCGATGACTTCTGTGATATTTCCGCCGACCAAACTTGGACTCATCAATTTATACAGTCTTCTCTTCACCACCTGTATAATAATTGATTAATAAATAAAAAGAATGTACAAATTATGGAAACAAGAATACTTAACCGATTTTTGAATGGCGTAAAATCATCCCACCATATCTACCTATATAACTTCGCGATGAAACGATGCCAAGTCAACAACCGTTTGTGTCGCAATATCAATTTGTTTTTTTATAAATAAAATAGAAACATTCTCCGTCCACAAATGAGAAAAAATTACAATTTTCCATATAGGCAAGTGGGACTTTTGGAAAAACGTATTTTTTCTGAGTGATTGTTCTGATTGTTCTAACCGGAGCCGGCAGGCGTAGGGAGCTTCTATACACTTATGTTACTCACTATTTAAGATATACAGGTTAAACATCGGCCTATAACGAATAGTGCTTTATGATGACTGGTGAACCAACTATCTGAAACAGCCGAGATCACTAGCGCTCGTTGTGGTTTAAATATGTTAATATCATTATCTTAATCAGTTTGGCGTACTAAACCCGGGGTAAAATTTATCGCGTTTTTTTGCATTTCTTTCATGATATGTTAACATGAATTAAAAATTAAAATATTATAATATTATATAGGTATATTATACTAATTTAATTCATGGGGAAATGAATTATGAGATATCTTAAATCCTGGTTATTTCTACATAATATTATATGGTATATTCATAATGCTTAATCATTATTAATTTAGTTATTTGTTATTTAAAAGTCTAGCTTTTTAAAATAGCTACTTTCAAAATGGTTAAGATGTGTTGTGTTCCTTATTGTAATGAGATTAGTAAAATCAAATTGAATGTTCCAAAAAACAACGAGTAAAAAGTTTGAACTTAAAATTAAAACCAACTTCGAAAGTTTGCGAGAAAAATGTTGATGTAAATGACGTTATAAGTATACGGTACTGTACTATTACAATAATCTTCAAAAATTATAATATACATTTTAGATAATAGAAAAAATATTTAGAAAAAACAAAATGTTGATTCTTAAAAACTAAAAGGCTATGCAATTATTGATAAATTTAGCATAGGTAGGTACATAAATAAATAAGTTTATGATTATTTCTGAAATTTGTTTAGATATGTTTGAAAATACCAAAACTTAGACCTGGTGCTATTCCTAAACTTACAGTGGTAAATGAAACTATTAATGAGGTTTTACAAAATGCAGTCTTAGATATTTCTCCGCCTAAAAAGATAATTTGCATTTATATATTATATATAATATTATATATGCCGTATAGTATTCTATACTATTAAATAATTACATCATTATATTGTTAGTTTGTTACCATGCACATTGTACTTACCTACATTAATTTTAAACTGTATTGGATATAGCACTAACTTAATAATATTATGCTTTTTTTTTAAGATTCATGATGAAAATAGTATGACTAATAATGTATTGAATGACCATTCTTATAGTACCATGCATGATAGTAAAAGTTCAAATAATAGTACATCTATATTTCAAGACAATATTAATAATTTTGATGAGCATTTATTTTCATCAGCCATTACTTCTGAACTTGAAACAACAACAAAATAAAAAAATGTAAATAGATTATTTATTTATTTATTTATTCAGTGTCAAAATTACTTCATAAATCATATTATGTTAATCCATTGAATTTATTATATTATTTTTTGAATATTATTTAATTTTAAAAACATATTTCATCAAATTCAGTTTCAATTTACATAACTTCAGTGAATATAAAATAAAATATTAATTTTAAAATTTAAAATAAAAATAAGCTAAACATAAGACTATATTTAAACAGGTATCTTCCACTTTATTTGAGGCAAATCCATTATTTATTTTTATTTGAAAATCAATAAATTTAATTAATGTACCATTGAAATGGTTTGTTGATATTAATAAGTTATACGGTACTGCTGAAAATGTTGTATGTTTTCATAAGTTGACGTTATTCAGAGAAAATTTGTTAAGATCCATAGAAAAGCAACTAGTTCTAAGTGAAGGTAAGCTTATCAAAATAGTTTCTGAAAAATATAAAAATATTTTATGATATTACATTTGGCTTATTCAAATACACAAGTTTTATATCGATTTTATTAGATTTAAGTATACTTCTACAAGTAAATGGGAAAACAATCACAACAGATGCCATTGGTTTGTCACCAAATTATAAAATAAAAAATGTAGAAGACCTAGAAAAGACATTAATATTATTTGAAAATACCAAACTTTGTCAAGGATCTGTTTCAACCACAAAATGCATTAATATAAAATCGACATTTGGTGTAGAGTTTGTTGAAAATTGTGGAAAGTTGTATCATTCTAAGTGCACAAACATAATTAAAACAGATGATTATATAAATGGGTAATTTATATGAAAATTTAAATAATAATACAATAAAATAAGGTACTCTATTTGAGCATTTTAGAGTATAATAAATTCAATTTTCATATTTACAGAGAAAAATGTTTGTGGTGCAAACGTTTGAATTATTTGTTTAACAATAGACTTTCAAAACAAAATTCGAGAATATATTTCTCTCCCAACAAAAAAAAAAGTTATTAAGTTTGAATAAAGCTAAAGATGTTATAAAAAAAAAATTTTCTAGGTTAGCTAAAAAAATACGACATTTGCAAGAAAATTTAAATAATCTCAAGAATGAAATCTGAATCAACCCTTAAAAAAATTATTAAAGATTCAAACATCCCTTCATGCCAAACAGATGTTATTACTGAGATATTTAAAGCTGCTAAATTGAAGTACTCAAAGAATCGACGTTATAGCGAAAACTGGATGTTACTGTGTCTATTATTCCAAATCAGGTACGACTTTTATAACTAGGTAATGAAAAATATTACGTTTAGTCTTGTTTACTTATTGATTTAGATCACCCACTGGATATAAATTTTTAAAATATCAAAATATTTTACCATTGCCATGTGTCAGCACAATTCGTAAACATTTACTAACCATACAAATTGGTTGTGGGTTTGACCTCAATTTATTTAAGCTATTGAAAAAGAAATTTTCCACAAAATCTGAACATCAAAAAAAGGGTATAATATTGCTAGATGAGATGTTTTTGAGGGAGAGTTTGAGTGTAAACACTAACATACATCGGATTGGAAGATTTTGGAAATGAAGAATTAGTAAGGAAAAATAGTAACTTGAAGGCAAACCACGGTTTGGTGTTCATGTGGCAAAGTTTGGCTGAAAATATGGTACAACCTATTGCTGTGTTTGCTTCAGCTGGTCTGGTTAAAGGTAGCTTATAAAATAAATATGTTGCAAATAACTACTACATTTGTAAATTTAAATTAGGAGTTGAACTCTCAAAGCTGATAGTCAAGGCCATCCTATTGATGGAAGATGCTGGTGCACACTTTGTTGGTATTACTTGTGATGGCGCATCAACAAACCGCACTATGTGGAATTCATTAGGAGTATTAATAATTTATTTATTTATTTGAGCACAAAATATATTCATATTTTAACTTATCAATTTAACTTAAAGGTTTCAGCAAAAAAGGATGATTTCAAAAACTATTTTGAAAATCAGTTTGATGCTTCCAGAAAAGTTTATGTTTTTTCTGACGCACCTCATCTCTTGAAAATATCAGAAATCGATTGTTTCAAAATAAAACTCTAATTGTAAATTTAAAAATAATATACAATCTATCACTTATAAACAATCAAATGTATAATGAATATTATTAATATGATTTTAGGTTAATCCATCAAAACCCACTATAAAATGGGAACATTATTTAAATATTTTTAAAACAGAAGGTAGCAGCCTCACTAAAGTCTGTCCAAAATTTACGAAAAATCATTATGAATTAAATAATCTTTCAAAAATGAAGGTCAAATATGCTGCACAGGTCTCATTTTTTTTTTGTTGATCAGTAACTAATAATACTGTTAACAAATATTGAAGTATATTGCATTTTTAGATTTTTAGCAGATCAACAGCTGTAGGTATAGATTTTTATAGAACCAAAAATGTTGAAGGTTTTAAAGACTCAGAAGAAACCGTTAATTTTACTCTCATTATAAATGATTTGTTCCAGGCGCGTCCCCAAGGGGGGGGGGGGCGAAAAGGCGTTCGCCCCCCATAACAATTTTGAATGTATAAAATTACTATTACCTATGTCAAGAAAATTTTAATGATTAAAATGTTAATTTATTGTTATACCTAAGTAGAAAAACTAAATCTCCCCAAAGATAATAAATTGTTATCTAGATAAAGATAATAACTAGTAATAATTATTTTTTATCGGAATAGTGACTAGTGTATGCGGGTATCGGCTTATAGAAGAACGCAGCACATATTTTTATCGCTGTATCAACAGCAGTAATGTACAGTACACGGCCAGTAATAGTATATATGTTCATGTACACGGCAATGCTACTACACCACTACATATCTGTCATCAGTGTTATCACGGCTATAGATTCTATCTATTCTGTGGTATAAGGTATATGGTGTGGACTTATCTGTGTGCATCAAAAACAAATGTCATCAAATATCCAGTTAGTCAGAAATAATATGAGTATAATAAGAGAAATATTGTCATTTTTTAATATGTCGTCGAAAAGAAATTTTATTTAAAAAAAAAAACCTCAAAGGATGTAAGCGCTCTGTAACTGGGTTATGCGACACTAGGTGGGTTGAGCGACATGAAAGTATTTTTGAATTTCAAATAAATCTGATTGAAATAATTGATAGTTTAGTATGTATTTCTGAATGGAATGATGTGTTGTCATCATCAAAAGCAAAAACTCTGCTCTTATCAATTTGTACCTGTGACTTTGTAGTTTGTATTAACTTTGTATACAATGACAGAAATACTAAGTGTAACAGCAGCAGCAAGCAAAATATTACAAGGGGCAACACAAGATATTTGTAGTGCTGAAAACTGCATCGATTTAATTATAAAAAATTTAGAAGACAAAAGGTTAAATAGTGAATCAAATTTTATAGAATTATTTGAAAAATGTAAGATTATTATGACAAAACTGGAAATTAATATAACAGTACCACGCACAGCTAAATGTCAAACTCATCGATCCAACACTCCATCTAGTAATCCTGTGGAGTACTATAGAAGAGTTTTGTATATACCTATCCTTGACAATGTCCTGGAAGATCTACGCATGAGATTCCGCAGCAAAAAAAATAGTACTATACTTTTGCTCATGAAATTAGTACCAATTTCAATTATCAACATGTCTCCAGAGATGTGTGATAAATTAATAAATTCAATAACTGAAAACTTTTCATTTTTGGAAATAAATCAAATCGCGTTCAAAGGGAAAAAATGTATGATATATAAAGGATGAATATATAGAACAAGTAATAAATATATTTGGTGTTAAAAAAAGAAATTTACAATTTTTATTTGTAAATTAATATTTTAATAAATATAATTAATGTTTTAAGTGTCGAATTGATATTATTAATTAAATTAAAACTTCAATAAATTAATTTTATGGTTATTGGTTAAATAATTATTGTTTTATAATCCTCCAGTTTGATGTATATAATGTAATAGTATAGTGTAAAATTGTAAACCCCTTCCTACCTCGTGGTCATTCCTATTTATAAATAGATTGATAAATTAAAATGTTGTCCCCCCCTTGAGAATTTTACTATGGGTGCCCTTGAACATAACTACTCAGATTCAACAGTGTTTGATTGTGTGGTATACTTTTTAGCAGGGTTAGTAATTAATATTAAAATGATTATTTTGCACATTTAAAATATTAATTATGATATTGAACTAAATTAACAGTTTTAGATACTTAGGTACCTATGTAAATAATGTATGATGATATAGGTATATCGGGAAACGTTTGATCGCTAGAACTAAATGTCAAGAATGTATAGAAGGATTAAAAAATTTAAATTCTACATTTGGCCCAGAAGCTGATTTGGTCCAAGCAAAAAGTAAGGGATATTTAACACACCCAGATCATAATTTAATATTTATACATCATTTTGAAAAGAATAAAACTATGTTTTGGTAAGTATTGTAGGTCAAATTATGTATTTGAAGAAACATACAACGAATTTTTTAAAAGTTATTCTACCATATATTTTCTTTGCTATTTACATAAAAATGATATTCTTACTAATATATTTTCTTATTACAAAATTATGAGAATGAGACAATTTACTTACATGGATAATCAAACAATAAAAAACTAAACAGAACCAAAAAAACTTGTCCAAGCTAGTTTCGACTTAACAATATTGTTTTTAATGAGGTATTATGTAATATTCTAAAATACAATATTTTATTATTGTTTATAAATTATATTGCATACCTACTTATTGTATCATGTATAATTAAGTTGTACATTAAATTTATTAACAGTATTTGCCATTATTATGTTTATGTATTTATATTGTATTGTATTTGTATACCTACTTTATATTATAAAATAATATATTGTTCATATCCTTAAATTTATTGAAAATGGAAATTGTAATATTGTAATTTGTATTTGTAAATTGTGCTCTCTAATAAAATAGTACGGATCCCGTTAATTTATTATTGTAATGAGTTTTACGCGGGCCGGTATTTAATTAATAGAAGACAATAGACATAAACAGTAACCAGCAACCACTTACCAAAATTATCTGCTATAAAATAGTACGGAAAAGAAACTACAAACTTGTCCACACGGTGCGCTAGCAGTAAAGGGAACGGCTGTTTCAGATAATTCACCCGTTCACCGGTCAAAATATGGGTGTTCGATACGCAACCTGTATATCTTAAATCCTGATGTTATTCTAACTGGGACAGTACCCCATATAACCCCCTCACACGTGTGATTTACGTGATTTACGTGATTACGTGTGGTTACATAATACATTTTGTTCTTTGGTTGCCGGGATCCTCTTGACGGGCCGACCGGAGTCCGCCGCCCTGGATTTCTCGTACTTGGGTTTAAAGTGTTCTTCGTCTTATTCCCCTTTTGCCTCAGTTTAATGTAGCCGTCTGCCTTCTTCTCTCTTCCTCTTCCTTTTTCCTCATGATCGCTTCTATCGTGGCCGCTGTGGTGTCCCAATTCTCCTTTGAAGTGAGCATTTAAGGGATCAGGCTTGTAGTATTTAGATCCGTCCCCATGGTCATCTGCGCTTATCTCCTTCTCATGTGCGACGCGTCGCAGTGGAATAGTGTGTGTTCGGCGTCATCTATTGCGTCTCCGCAGAACCAGCACTCTGACGTTTCCAACTTTCCGAATCTCTTCAGGTCCGTGGAAAAACATCCGTGACCACTCAGCGCTTGGGTTAGGTGGAAGTTTGTTTCTCCGTGTCGGCGGCCTGTTTAGGTACCGATGTTCGGGATAAGGGCGTACGTCCATCTGCCGTTTTTCCTGTTTTCCCATTCCGTCTGCCACGTATCCAGGATGTTTGGTTGTCGTATTACCAGTTCCGGGTTCCTCTTCTTTTCGTATAGATTTTTCCTCTCCTTGGCGAGCAGGTTTAGTGGGGCGATCCCAGTGATGACTGCTATTGCGTTCCTTGAAGTCGTACAGTATGCGGAGGCCGCCACTCAGGCAGATTCGCCTCTGCACCTTGAGGAGTTCCATCCAGCCCGCCACGCTCATCTCTTCGGCCCATACTGGCGATCCGTACAGCAGGATGGAGTGGGCAACGTTGCTCAGCAGCTTCCTTTTAGTTGGCTTCGCGGCGCTAATGTTAGGCATTATCCGTGCCAGCCTTGGTTGCAACGATCTTCGCGTGTTTTGTAAAGTTCCATTTTCTATCAATGTGTATGCCAAGGTATTTTATACAGTCGCTGGAGACCACTTGATGTCCGTTCACTATAATATTCATATCGCTATGTGTCCTCGTTTTTGTTATTATCATGACTTCGCACTTGTGCTCGGCCAGAGATAGCCCCACTCGCGTCAGCCAGTCGTGGACCTTGTTTGCACAAGAGGAGAGTAGCTGCTCTAGTTGTATCGAGTTCCCAGCTCTGGCTACTAGTGCGACGTCGTCCGCAAATGCCAGTTATTCTACTCCCGCTGGCAAGCGTGTTCGCAATAGTCCGTCGTATAGTACGTTCCACAGGGTAGGCCCGATGACTTACCCTTGTGGTACTCCGCATGTGATGTTGATTCTTGTCATGTCTTCGCCTTCTCCGAAACTAAGGGTGCGGTTCTCTAGGTAGCTGCTTACAATCTGTTGGATGTATCCAGGGACTTCCTTCTCGTGGAGGCTTCAGTAGTCAGAACTTTTTTTACTAATATGACTATGATTTTGCTCTAAATGTCTCTTTAATTTATTTGGTGTCATAGACTCGTTTAATAAAGTTACGCCACATACAATACACTCAGGTATTTGATCTTTATCATCACCAATAAACGTAAATCCGAAATTTAAATAGTTGTTTTTATACTTACGACGCTTTACTGTTTTGACATTAATTGTTGATGAAGACGGTAACGCAAATTAGTGGAGCCACCAATGCTCGTGTTAATTATAAATTTGTCCATACTTAATGTACCTTTTTTAATATGGTATGTATAAGAAAATATGAAAATATAACGAAATTATATAACAGACACAACTCGCACAACACTGTGATCACGAATGAGAATAGTGGGAACGTGCTTATTTACGTACCTACCTATACACATAATGCCAATTTACTATTTAGCAGTTATGAGATTACGTCGAAATCATTACGAGGTAAGAATATCTTCATAATTGTTTTTCTTATCTCTGGGTTTTACTATTTCATCATAATGCTGAAATAATATCATATTTATTATGTCAAATGAAATTATATGTAGGTAATATATTAATATATAAATAATATAATATTTTGGCGACACACACCACGGTAATACGCGACACACTGGTTGAGAACCACGGTGCTAGAATATATGAACATTTTATGAACATTCAGCCGTCAATAATTACCGTACTGCGGGGATAGTATACATTTTTTTTAGCCCCACTATAAATGTTAGGTTAGGTTACAACAAAATATCAAAAAACTATTGAGGAGAAATAGGTAGTTAATTTTAATTACAAAAGTACCTATAGGACACGACACGAGCGGCTGTTTTTAGTAAAACCAGGGGTTCTCCGTTTGGTATTATTATTATTATTATTATTTTATTGCAGTACAGATGGTTTTCAGGCGGTATTTCATCGCATTTTAGTATACATTTTCGTAATTTTGTTTTTGTTGACTCGTTGGTATGTTATCACCATAGATAATAAATTATATCACAAATAATAACAATAATTTTGTGTGGTTATGTTATTATCGTCGTAAAATTCGTACCGTGGTTTGTGTTATAATATTTCCTGTGTTCACAATAACTTTGGTTTTGTAATTAACTCAAAATTAACGTAATTAGTCTAATGTTTACTTTATTATTATATTTTTTTTTTTACATTATATAGTACCTACATTACACGATTTGAAATTATAATATTAGGCGGGAAAACGTTTGGAGACCCATACCGTAAAACGGCCGCTAGTGGCGTGTCGATCGCGTCCTACTTTTAGTGGACCGCACTATAATATTATTTGAAAGTATTATATTTGTATGGTTTTACCTGCATTGAATATACAACAATAATTGTGGGGGCGGGCTAATATCCACACTAAGGGACTAAGCCCCCTCCAGGCTCCAAGCCCCCTAGATACTCTTATACGTATTATAGGTATAGGTACACTAATTAATAATATGTGACAATTGTATATGTACATTATATAGGTTAGGTATAATACAGGGCATTTTTTAGTGATATTTTACTAGGTGTCCACTTTAAAAAAAAAAAATTAACTAACATTTATTAATTAAAAAAAAAAAACAACAAATTATAAAATTAATACAAACACTGTTCTTATATATTATATTTAAAAATACAAATATTTCATTAATAGCTAATGGTTTTTTTTTCTGAAAAATTTACTGATGAAATCACGATTCTGATAAGTGGACAAATCAGGTTCACGATAGCGTCTTTCTTTTTTTTTTTTTTAAATTCCATAACAGCGGGCCGAGGATCATAGTGTGCGGTTCCAATTCCATTCAATGATACATACAGACGATAATTAATGGTTTCTTCTAATAAGTTTATTTTATGATTAGTTTTTATTTGTTTATAATGTGAAATCACTCTTTCTGTCGTCATTGAACGGGGGCAAACAATTAATAGAGTAACAAATAATTTTTGTAATATGCCACTAGTTTTAGCAGCTATAGTCTTTAATTTTAATGAATATTGAGTTCCTTTATCGGTTGTATCAATATTTGGAATATCTTCTATCATTGACCAAAAATCAGTTACATTATTAACAAACTCTAAAACTTTATCATGACCGAAAATATTTTCAACCAACTGACAGCCTGCTTCTATCATTTCTTTGCAAGAATTTGCAGACATTAGTTTTATCATCTGACTTGTAGTTTCATTTTCTTAAACGTTTAGGCGTTGACATGAAAAGTTCTTAAACGATAAAACAATTTCTTTGTAAAGAAGAATAATTTACCTCATTACTGCTACTTCTGCTAAATCTGTTTTTAATTTTTTGTTGAAATAAAACAGTAAATTATTTTTTCTTTTTTCCATCATTAAATTTCAATATTTATTAGTTTTAATATTAAAAATACGACGTTTTTACCCTTTACACTACGTAATTCAAATTTTAAACTTTATAATGTGATAATAAATAATGAAAAGTAAAAAACATTAGATAGATAATAATATCACAGAAAAGATGTATCACTTCAAATCAGAACGGACACTCTCCGAAAAGTCTGATTACGACCTAAAAGCCACCAGTGTTGCCTTGCAAGAAAACAATTTTTATTTTCCGATAATAAAGTTAAAAAAAATCAAATCTGAAATTTATAATTAACTATAATACCAACTACCTAACAACTATTACATTTTTTCTGGATCGTTTAGATACAGGACGTCTGGACACCCAGTGGGTGAATTATTTCATTACTGGGTGTCAAACTAGTCTTAACTGGGTGTCCATTTGGTCACAGAAAAAATACTTAAAAAATGCCCTGGTATAATATTGTGCAACTATTAACTGAAACGAATAATGATAAAATATGAACTATTATGAGTGACCGTATCTATAAATCCACTATAGTACTATATATATTTACTATTAGGAAAAACCATAATATGAACATTTTCATCGTAATTATAGATTTGTATATACTATTTTGTATTGTAAAATTACCTAAGGAATAATAATTGGTATATTTTATCACGTGAAGTAGATTTCTTTCATTTAACCATTGTTCTCCAATAGAATTTAACTTTGTACACAGTTTTGTATTAGGTAATAAATCACGATTTTTTAAAAATTGTATACAAGTTTCGTCATTAAAAATAATTTTTGTATATAATTCACCCAGAGTACTCATTTTATAGAACCATGAATGTACAATTAATGAAAACACACAACTACGAGGTTTGATATACGAACATATATTAAAATCTAAAATACAAAATAACTTTGAAAGCTTGAAATTCCTAAAGGAATTATAAATATATAATATATAGAAATATAATATCGATACCGTCAATACGGATTACGGTAGATAGCATACGACACGGGTGCCCTATATTATCTGAAAACGAGCGTTTCACGTTCCCACATCCAAAGTATCTCACTCTCGAACGAAGCCATGGCCGTCCTTAGGTGGAGGGGGGTGTACGAGCAGGGCCCAGACCCTGGGCCTCGCGCTCTTTGCTTAAATTTGGGGCTTTGGAAAAAGTGGTTATTTTTTTTAAAAAATTGTTTTATTTTCATTTTTATAAAAATAACGAAGTTGATTTAACGTAAAAATATTGAAATATCAATAATACAAGATTATCGTATTAGCAACACATTAGAAGGGGTGATGTGGATAGCAGGCAGCAGCCACCGACCGTCTTTTTCGTCGAATTGTAGGTCCATGTCCCCAGCACCACCACATCCAAATTTTGATTCAAACCCCATACCAATCGTCTGTACCTCGTTTTTACCTGTTTGTACCTCAAGTAAAATCGTTTGTACCTCAACGGTTTTCCAACTGTCACTACTTTGATTTTGGGGTTGAAAAAGAAACGCTGTCACCACCTTTGAATTTCGAGTTTAAACTTTTACCAATCGTTTGTACCTCGTTTGTACCTGTTTGTACCTCAAGTAAAATCGTCTGTACCTCAACGGTTTTCCAACTGTTACTACTTTGATTTTGGGGTTGAAAAGGAAACGCTGGCACCACCTTTGAATTTCAAGTTTAAACTTTTACCAATCGTTTGTACCTGTTTGTACCTCAAGTAAAATCGTTTGTACCTCAACGGTTTTCCATTTATTCCAAATTCCTTAGGTGGGGGTGCCGAAGAAATGCTGGCAACCCCACCTTTAAATTTCGAGTTTAAACACATACCAATCGTTTGTACCTCGTTTGTTTTAACCTAACCTCAAGTTACATCGTTTGTAAATCAGCGCTTTACAAATCATTCCAAACATAGGTTAGGTTAGGTTATCTCAAGTAAAGTCTTGATACCAAGTAGAAACATCCAGTTTGTAACCAATTACTTGTTGGGGAGGGGGTTATGCACTCCTTTTGATCATGTTTCAGCTATATAATATAATTACTGTACAATTAAAATGTAGTATATAGGCAGGGCTGGGCAAGATACCTCAAACAAAGTATCTAAATACAATATACAAGGTACTATGATATTTTTGTAAGATACTAGATACTAAATACATGTATGATGTATCTGAGATACATATATAAGATACATGATACGTCATACATTAATTTACATTTATTTATTTATTTATTCATTTACTTTAGTCACAATAAAACATTTATATTTATAAATCATCAATGTTTATTTATTAAATATTAAATTTAATTACCTTTGGTACAATAAAAAATAGTATATATTTATAAATTAGTAATGTTTATTAACTATTAAATGTTTAAATAATATTTATATCCCATATTTTAAAATAAACTTTTGGTTACCTTTTGTTGAAACTAATTTTTTGAAAGTTTCATCCGACATGCTAGATTTGCATGGAGAATGAATACACCCAGCAAATTAAAATAGCCGTTAAACTGCAGCTGAAGCTGTTAGGCTTGTGTTATACTTTATAAATAATATTTTTGCTTTTGGATAGTTATTACTTCTTTAAGCAACTAAGTGATTTATTTTTATCATTTAAAAATCTTATAAATTCAAGTTCGTTACTGGTCTGCTGTAATGACAGGTCGGGCACAGCTGAAATTGAAAATAAAATAAAATTTCAGCTTTACTGTGAGTTAGGTTAGGTAATACTAACCATTTTTTTTTTATAATATTTTAAATATGTTTTTCTACAAAATTAATTATTTGTTTACTTAATAATTTATTATAATATACATTATACATATATTATAACTGTTAAAATCGAATATATAGCATTTAATTTGGTTTTCTATAAGTGTTACAAAATAATTCATATAACCATCAGCATTAAATGTTTATTTTTAATATTAGGTATAGTAAAATATACATTACATATTATTATTATATTTTAATTTATTTTCTGAAGCTTCTATTGTCGATTTTGGGGGTGCCGAGAAAACGCTGGCACCCCACTTTTGAATTTCGAGTTTAAACCTATACCAATAGTTTGTACCTGTTTGTACTTCAATGGTTTTCAAGTTATTCCAAATTCCTAAGGTGAGGGTGCTGAGGAAATGCTTGCTAAATAAGCCTAAATATTGCCTAAATAAGTGTTTCCATCATTTTTTAAACATTATAGACCACCTAGGATAGGTACTTCAATAGTTCAATTAGAATAATAAGTTTCCGAGCATTGAACTGTTAAATAATTTTAAGAAGAGAGAATGAAAAACTAAATATAATTTGTTATTACCAAATATATTAATATTATAAATTTTATATGGTCAATTTAAAAATAGATTTTGGACAGACGGGACTTTAAAGTCCCAGCCAAAAAAAAATCGTATAAAATTACGTATTAGTGTGGTTGTTATTGCCCGACGGGACTTCTATGTCCCGTATTCTACCGGAAAAAATTATCTTGGAAGAAAAAACAATCAGTTATCATAGTTTCAATAGTGTTTGTTGATTACTACTTTTCATAAACACGTTTTTACAGTTTTCCGATATTTGAAAATTTTTATTCGCTGTATTAAGAGGCCGTCACAGTAGAAAAAAATCGACCGAAAAACATGCTTTCGTACTTCCAATAGTTCTCAGGCCTCGTTAATCGTAGAAACATGGTTTTGGTATCAAAATAATCACGAGAAGTTGTACTAAATATTCTTGGAACAGAATTTTAAAATTTTTTTTCTAACCAATTTTATTTGTATCTAAAGTTTGTACTATATTTTCATTTTTTGAAAAAATTATATAAAATCGACAAAATTAGATATCGAAAATCTGTTCCAAGGATATTTAGTACAACTTCTCGTGATTATTTTGATATCAAAATCATGTTTCTACGATCAACGAGGCCTGAGAACTATTGGAAGTACAAAACCATGTTTTGGGCAAAAAAAATACAAATTTGCCGTCGCCATGTGCTGCTAGAACGATTACAGCGGCAGCATTCTGAAATAGTACTTCTACCACTACCCCGCGTACATATTATGCAGCTGTACAGCACCATAGGTCAAAACTGGTTATTTATCGCAGCCGCGCACGGATTATAAATAGCCAAATACGTCGATACGAAAGTAATAATTCTGTCAATGAATAATATTATTTTATTTTTCGATGTTATAATTCGTATTCTTATTACTAGCGAAGTTTACTCAAAATGGAACTACATAATATTATAATATTATCATAAAATCGTCACCAAATAGCTGGAAAGCGTACGATTTAAACAATTTTTTTTTTCAATTATAGACAATTCTTCTATCAAATTAGCGATTTTATATTCAAGATTTTTTTTTAAATTTAAATTAGCGTAGGTAGGTACCTAATAAAAACCGTCCAAGAAGAAGCAAAACACTTCACTCATGTCATTGTAATTTAGCCCATATTCTTATTGTGCCTCAGGGTACAGATTGTATATTTCATGTAAAAAATAAAAATAAATAAAAAAATTAGCATAGTAGTAGTAGTACTGTATAGTATAGTATAGTACTGTACAAGTAAAAAAAGGTAGGCAAGTGTTTGTCACTCTACTGTTCAGTTACAGTATGTTATTACAAGTGAGCCATTATACTGAATTGTGTTAAATTAAAATTCGATGATATTATAATATCATTGCTGAAGAAAAACGAATCTGAGCTAAGACAGGAGTCAGCCTATGATAATTATATTTTTAACTACAAAATAATTTTAAATTTTTAAATTTGACAAATTTATTCAAAATTCAAATGTTGAATGAACTTTACTAAAAAATCGACCATGTATTA